TGTGAAAATACAAAATTTTTGCTGGCCTTTCTCTCTATAGTTGTACAATATTAGACGTAGATTGACTGATTTTAGAAATATAATATTAAAACATGTATGCTGTCATTTCAAAAGTTGAGCACAAGTCAACGAAACTTAGAGCCTCATACAATCTTGCCTCTCTTGTATTTTTTTCCTCCAATTCCCACCGATTCTTGCCCATCCAACCGAACGGCCATCATGAATCTTTCTTCCTTCCTTTGATTATTCTTGGCCCTAATTCCCAAACATCACCCCGCTTCTTCTATTATTACTGACGGTGTCACTATTCATCTTTTTCTGCAATGTCATTTAGAAAAATTTTGTCGCTCAATCACCATTTCCACACAACAGCCCCGCTTCCCCCTCTTAACTCTTCTAATTTTGTTTCGGACCCGTCAAAATATGCATTTGGTGGAGGTGTTTTTGCTCTGGCAGTTTCGTTTGTTTCATATTCTGTTGGTCCAGATAAGAGTCAAGTGAAAGAAACGACGAAAACGGCTGCATGTGATATACAAGATGATGCTGGCAAAAGTTTTAACAGTCTTGAAGGGTTTCTTGATCATATTTCCAGAGAGAAGGACAAGGAGATGAAGCAATTGAAGAGGAATCACACCAAAACATAACTGAAAGTACCCCTGAAAAGAAGAGGTGGACGTAAGCAACAAAATCTGGTTACCGATGTACATGCGTTCTTATTTTTTACGCTCTTGATCAAGTTACATCTCTATTTATTGCGATTTTACATAATTTCCTGCCCAGAAGACTGTATAACTTTTTTTTTATGTTTTCAATTTCTAAAATCCACAAAGTGATGGAATGAAAATATTGAGACCTCATAATGTCTAATTTCAATAGGCGTGGACTTTTTTTATAATTTTGTGAATGTTGTGATTTTTTGATTGGATTTAAAATTTACTTTGTTGGTGGATACAATTGCGATTGAGATAAAGTTTATTTGTTTCAACTTATAATTTAAAAAGTTTATTTGTGAAAATACAAAATTTTTGCTGGCCTTTCTCTCTATAGTTGTACAATATTAGACGTAGATTGACTGATTTTAGAAATATAATATTAAAACATGTATGCTGTCATTTCAAAAGTTGAGCACAAGTCAACGAAACTTAGAGCCTCATACAATCTTGCCTCTCTTGTATTTTTTTCCTCCAATTCCCACCGATTCTTGCCCATCCAACCGAACGGCCATCATGAATCTTTCTTCCTTCCTTTGATTATTCTTGGCCCTAATTCCCAAATATCACCCCGCTTCTTCTATTATTACTGACGGTGTCACTATTCATCTTTTTCTGCAATGTCATTTAGAAAAATTTTGTCGCTCAATCACCATTTCCACACAACAGCCCCGCTTCCCCCTCTTAACTCTTCTAATTTTGTTTCGGACCCGTCAAAATATGCATTTGGTGGAGGTGTTTTTGCTCTGACAGTTTCGTTTGTTTCATATTCTGTTGGTCCAGATAAGAGTCAAGTGAAAGAAACGACGAAAATGGCTGCATGTGATATACAAGATGATGCTGGCAAAAGTTTTAACAGTCTTGAAGGGTTTCTTGATCATATTTCCAGAGAGAAGGACAAGGAGATGAAGCAATTGAAAGAAAATGAAACAACCAAAAAGGGCATAATTGAAGTACGCCCAGAAGAAGAAAGAGAAGGAGGTGGAGGGGTGTGGGGGGAAGCAACAAAAATCCTGGTTACCGATGTACATCTTCTTATTTTTTACCTCTTATCAAGTTTACATCTCTATTTATTATTTTCATAATTTCCTCCAAAACTTAAACTTTTTTTTATGTTTCAATTTCTAAATCCCAAAAAGTATGAATGAAAATTTGAACTCATAATGTCTAATTTCCATAGGCGTGGATTTTTTTTATAATTTTTGAATGTTGTGATATTACATCTTCTTATTTTTTACCTCTTATCAAGTTTACATCTCTATTTATTATTTTCATAATTTCCTCCAAAACTTAAACTTTTTTTTATGTTTCAATTTCTAAATCCCAAAAAGTATGAATGAAAATTTGAACTCATAATGTCTAATTTCCATAGGCGTGGATTTTTTTTATAATTTTTCAATGTTGTGATATTTTTTGATTGGATTTAAAATTACTTTGTTGGTGGATACAATTGCGATTGAGATAAAATTTATTTGTTTCAACTTATAATTTAAAAAGTTTATTTGTGAAAATACAAGATTTTTGCTGGCCTTTCTCTCTATAGTTGTACAATATTAGACGTAGATTGACTGATTTTAGAAATATAATATTAAAACATGTATGCTGTCATTTCAAAAGTTGAGCACAAGTCAACGAAACTTAGAGCCTCATACAATCTTGCCTCTCTTGTATTTTTTTCCTCCAATTCCCACCGATTCTTGCCCATCCAACCGAACGGCCATCATGAATCTTTCTTCCTTCCTTTGATTATTCTTGGCCCTAATTCCCAAACATCACCCCGCTTCTTCTATTATTACTGACGGTGTCACTATTCATCTTTTTCTGCAATGTCATTTAGAAAAATTTTGTCGCTCAATCACCATTTCCACACAACAGCCCCGCTTCCCCCTCTTAACTCTTCTAATTTTGTTTCGGACCCGTCAAAATATGCATTTGGTGGAGGTGTTTTTGCTCTCGCAGTTTCGTTTGTTTCATATTCTGTTGGTCCAGATAAGAGTCAAGTGAAAGAAACGACGAAAATGGCTGCATGTGATATACAAGATGATGCTGGCAAAAGTTTTAACAGTCTTGAAGGGTTTCTTGATCATATTTCCAGAGAGAAGGACAAGGAGATGAAGCAATTGAAAGAAAATGAAACAACCAAAAAGGGCATAATTGAAGTACGCCCTGAAGAAGAAAGAGAAGGAGGTGGAGGGGTGTGGGGGGAAGCAACAAAAATCCTGGTTACCGATGTACATCTTCTTATTTTTACCTCTTATCAGTTCACATCTCTATTTATTATTTTCATAATTTCCTCCAAATCTTAAACTTTTTTTTATGTTTCAATTTCTAAATCCGAAAAAGTATGAATGAAAATTTGAACTCATAATGTCTAATTTCCATAGGCGTGGATTTTTTTATAATTTTTGAATGTTGTGAGATTTTTTGATTGGATTTAAAATTACTTTTTTGGTGGATACAATTGCGATTGAGATAAAATTTATTTGTTTCAACTTATAATTTAAAACGTTTATTTGTGAAAATACAAAATTTTTGCTGGCCTTTCTCTCTATAGTTGTACAATATTAGACGTAGATTGACTGATTTTAGAAATATAATATTAAAACATGTATGCTGTCATTTCAAAAGTTGAGCACAAGTCAACGAAACTTAGAGCCTCATACAATCTTGCCTCTGTTGTATTTTTTTTCCTCCAATTCCCACCGATTCTTGCCCATCCAACCGAACGGCCATCATGAATCTTTCTTCCTTCCTTTGATTATTCTTGGCCCTAATTCCCAAACATCACCCCGCTTCTTCTATTATTACTGACGGTGTCACTATTCATCTTTTTCTGCAATGTCATTTAGAAAAATTTTGTCGCTCAATCACCATTTCCACACAACAGCCCCGCTTCCCCCTCTTAACTCTTCTAATTTTGTTTCGGACCCGTCAACATATGCATTTGGTGGAGGTGTTTTTGCTCTGGCAGTTTCTGATTTGTTTCATATTCTGTTGCCGTTCGCCAGCATAAGAGTCAAGTGAAAGAACGACGAAAATGGCCCTGCATGTGATATAGAGATGCATGTGCAAAAGTTTTTAACAGTCTTGAAGCGGTGTCTTGAATCATATTTCCAGAGAGAAGGACAAGCGATGATGAAGCAATGAAAGAAAATGAAACAACCAAAACGGCATAATTGAAGTCACGCCCTGAAGAAAAACGAGAAGGAGCGTGGAGGGTGTGGCAGGACACAACAAAAATCCTGGTTACGATGTACATCTTTTATTTTTTTACCTCTTTATCAAGTTTACATCTCTATTTATTATTTTACATAATTTCCTCCAAAGTCTTAAACTTTTTTTTTATGCTTTCAATTTCTAAATCCACAAAAAGTAATGAATTCAAAATTTGAACTCATAATGTCTAATATCCATAGGCGTGAATTTTTTTATAAATTTTTGAAAGTTGTGATATTTTTTTTGCATTGGATTTCAAATTACTTTGTTGGTTTGGATACAAATTGCCGAATTGCGGATAAATTTATTTGTTTCAACTTATAATTTAAAAAGTTTATTTGTGAAAATACAAAATTTTTGCTGGCCTTTCTCTCTATAGTTGTACAATATTAGACGTAGATTGACTTATTTTAGAAATATAATATTAAAACATGTATGCTGTCATTTCAAAAGTTGAGCACAAGTCAACGAAACTTAGAGCCTCATGCATCTCTGCCTCTCTTGCTATTTTTTCCTCCAATTCCCACCGATTTTCTTGCCCATCCAACCGAACGGCCATCATGAATCTTTCTTCCTTCCTTTGATTATTCTTGGCCCTAATTCCCAAACATCACCCTGCTTCTTCTATTATTACTGACGGTGTTACTATTCATCTTTTTCTGCAATGTCATTTAGAAAAATTTTGTCGCTCAATCACCATTTCCACACAACAGCCCCGCTTCCCCCTCTTAACTCTTCTAATTTTGTTTCGGACCTGCCAAAATATGCATTTTGTGGAGGTGTTTTTGCTCTGGCAGTTTCGTTTGTTTCATATTCCGTTGGTCCAGATAAGAGTCAAGTGAAAGAAACGACGAAAATGGCTGCATGTGATATAGAAGATGATGCTGGCAAAAGTTTTAACAGTCTTGAAGGGTGTCTTGATCATATTTCCAGAGAGAAGGACAAGGAGATGAAGCAATTGAAAGAAAATGAAACAACCAAAAAGGGCATAATTGAAGTACGCCCTGAAGAAGAAAGAGAAGGAGGTGGAGGGGTGTGGGGGGAAGCAACAAAAATCCTGGTTACCGATGTACATCTTCTTATTTTTTACCTCTTATCAAGTTTACATCTCTATTTATTATTTTCATAATTTCCTCCAAATCTTAAACTTTTTTTTATGTTTCAATTTCTAAATCCCAAAAAGTATGAATGAAAATTTGAACTCATAATGTCTAATTTCCATAGGCGTGGATTTCTTTATAATTTTTGAATGTTGTGATATTTTTTGATTGGATTTAAAATTACTTTGTTGGTGGATACAATTGCGATTGAGATAAAATTTATTTGTTTCAACTTATAATTTAAAAAGTTTATTTGTGAAAATACAAAATTTTTGCTGGCCTTTCTCTCTATAGTTGTACAATATTAGACGTAGATTGACTGATTTTAGAAATATAATATTAAAACATGTATGCTGTCATTTCAAAAGTTTGAGCACAAGTCAACGAAACTTAGAGCCTCATACAATCTTGCCTCTCTTGTATTTTTTTCCTCCAATTCCCACCGATTCTTGCCCATCCAACCGAACGGCCATCATGAATCTTTCTTCCTTCCTTTGATTATTCTTGGCCCTAATTCCCAAACATCACCCCGCTTCTTCTATTATTACAGACGGTGTTACTATTCATCTTTTTCTGCAATGTCATTTAGAAAAATTTTGTCGCTCAATCACCATTTCCACACAACAGCCCCGCTTCCCCCTCTTAACTCTTCTAATTTTGTTTCGGACCCGTCAAAATATGCATTTGGTGGAGGTGTTTTTGCTCTGGCAGTTTCGTTTGTTTCATATTCTGTTGGTCCAGATAAGAGTCAAGTGAAAGAAACGACGAAAATGGCTGCATGTGATATAGAAGATGATGCTGGCAAAAGTTTTAACAGTCTTGAAGGGTGTCTTGATCATATTTCCAGAGAGAAGGACAAGGAGATGAAGCAATTGAAAGAAAATGAAACAACCAGAAAGGGCATAATTGAAGTACGCCCTGAAGAAGAAAGAGAAGGAGGTGGAGGGGTGTGGGGGGAAGCAACAAAAATCCTGGTTACCGATGTACATCTTCTTATTTTTTACCTCTTATCAAGTTTACATCTCTATTTATTATTTTCATAATTTCCTCTAAATCTTAACCTTTTTTTTATGTTTCAATTTCTAAATCCCAAAAAGTATGAATGAAAATTTGAACTCATAATGTCTAATTTCCATAGGCGTGGATTTCTTTATAATTTTTGAATGTTGTGATATTTTTTGATTGGATTTAAAATTACTTTGTTGGTGGATACAATTGCGATTGAGATAAAATTTATTTGTTTCAACTTATAATTTAAAAAGTTTATTTGTGAAAATACAAAATTTTTGCTGGCCTTTCTCTCTATAGTTGTACAATATTAGACGTAGATTGACTGATTTTAGAAATATAATATTAAAACATGTATGCTGTCATTTCAAAAGTTGAGCACAAGTCAACGAAACTTAGAGCCTCATACAATCTTGCCTCTCTTGTATTTTTTTCCTCCAATTCCCACCGATTCTTGCCCATCCAACCGAACGGCCATCATGAATCTTTCTTCCTTCCTTTGATTATTCTTGGCCCTAATTCCCAAACATCACCCCGCTTCTTCTATTATTACTGACGGTGTTACTATTCATCTTTTTCTGCAACGTCATTTAGAAAAAATTTGTTGCTCAATCACCATTTCCACACAACAGCCCCGCTTCCCCCTCTTAACTCTTCTAATTTTGTTTCGGACCCGTCAAAATATGCATTTGGTGGAGGTGTTTTTGCTCTGGCAGTTTCGTTTGTTTCATATTCTGTTGGTCCAGATAAGAGTCAAGTGAAAGAAACGACGAAAATGGCTGCATGTGATATAGAAGATGATGCTGGCAAAAGTTTTAACAGTCTTGAAGGGTGTCTTGATCATATTTCCAGAGAGAAGGACAAGGAGATGAAGCAATTGAAAGAAAATGAAACAACCAAAAAGGGCATAATTGAAGTACGCCCTGAAGAAGAAAGAGAAGGAGGTGGAGGGGTGTGGGGGGAAGCAACAAAAATCCTGGTTACCGATGTACATCTTCTTATTTTTTACCTCTTATCAAGTTTACATCTCTATTTATTATTTTCATAATTTCCTCCAAATCTTAAACTTTTTTTTATGTTTCAATTTCTAAATCCCAAAAAGTATGAATGAAAATTTGAACTCATAATGTCTAATTTCCATAGGCGTGGATTTTTTTTATAATTTTTGAATGTTGTGATATTTTTTGATTGGATTTAAAATTACTTTGTTGGTGGATACAATTGCGATTGAGATAAAATTTATTTGTTTCAACTTATAATTTAAAAAGTTTATTTGTGAAAATACAAAATTTTTGCTGGCCTTTCTCTCTATAGTTGTACAATATTAGACGTAGATTGACTGATTTTAGAAATATAATATTAAAACATGTATGCTGTCATTTCAAAAGTTGAGCACAAGTCAACGAAACTTAGAGCCTCATACAATCTTGCCTCTCTTGTATTTTTTTCCTCCAATTCCCACCGATTCTTGCCCATCCAACCGAACGGCCATCATGAATCTTTCTTCCTTCCTTTGATTATTCTTGGCCCTAATTCCCAAACATCACCCCGCTTCTTCTATTATTACTGACGGTGTTACTATTCATCTTTTTCTGCAATGTCATTTAGAAAAATTTTGTCGCTCAATCACCATTTCCACACAACAGCCCCGCTTCCCCCTCTTAACTCTTCTAATTTTGTTTCGGACCCGTCAAAATATGCATTTGGTGGAGGTGTTTTTGCTCTGGCAGTTTCGTTTGTTTCATATTCTGTTGGTCCAGATAAGAGTCAAGTGAAAGAAACGACGAAAATGGCTGCATGTGATATAGAAGATGATGCTGGCAAAAGTTTTAACAGTCTTGAAGGGTGTCTTGATCATATTTCCAGAGAGAAGGACAAGGAGATGAAGCAATTGAAAGAAAATGAAACAACCAAAAAGGGCATAATTGAAGTACGCCCAGAAGAAGAAAGAGAAGGAGGTGGAGGGGTGTGGGGGGAAGCAACAAAAATCCTGGTTACCGATGTACATCTTCTTATTTTTTACCTCTTATCAAGTTTACATCTCTATTTATTATTTTCATAATTTCCTCCAAATCTTAAACTTTTTTTTATGTTTCAATTTCTAAATCCCAAAAAGTATGAATGAAAATTTGAACTCATAATGTCTAATTTCCATAGGCGTGGATTTTTTTTATAATTTTTGAATGTTGTGATATTTTTTGATTGGATTTAAAATTACTTTGTTGGTGGATACAATTGCGATTGAGATAAAATTTATTTGTTTCAACTTATAATTTAAAAAGTTTATTTGTGAAAATACAAAATTTTTGCTGGCCTTTCTCTCTATAGTTGTACAATATTAGACGTAGATTGACTGATTTTAGAAATATAATATTAAAACATGTATGCTGTCATTTCAAAAGTTGAGCACAAGTCAACGAAACTTAGAGCCTCATACAATCTTGCCTCTCTTGTATTTTTTTCCTCCAATTCCCACCGATTCTTGCCCATCCAACCGAACGGCCATCATGAATCTTTCTTCCTTCCTTTGATTATTCTTGGCCCTAATTCCCAAACATCACCCCGCTTCTTCTATTATTACTGACGGTGTTACTATTCATCTTTTTCTGCAATGTCATTTAGAAAAATTTTGTCGCTCAATCACCATTTCCACACAACAGCCCCGCTTCCCCCTCTTAACTCTTCTAATTTTGTTTCGGACCCGTCAAAATATGCATTTGGTGGAGGTGTTTTTGCTCTGGCAGTTTCGTTTGTTTCATATTCTGTTGGTCCAGATAAGAGTCAAGTGAAAGAAACGACGAAAATGGCTGCATGTGATATAGAAGATGATGCTGGCAAAAGTTTTAACAGTCTTGAAGGGTGTCTTGATCATATTTCCAGAGAGAAGGACAAGGAGATGAAGCAATTGAAAGAAAATGAAACAACCAAAAAGGGCATAATTGAAGTACGCCCTGAAGAAGAAAGAGAAGGAGGTGGAGGGGTGTGGGGGGAAGCAACAAAAATCCTGGTTACCGATGTACATCTTCTTATTTTTTACCTCTTATCAAGTTTACATCTCTATTTATTATTTTCATAATTTCCTCCAAAACTTAAACTTTTTTTTATGTTTCAATTTCTAAATCCCAAAAAGTATGAATGAAAATTTGAACTCATAATGTCTAATTTCCATAGGCGTGGATTTTTTTTATAATTTTTGAATGTTGTGATATTTTTTGATTGGATTTAAAATTACTTTGTTGGTGGATACAATTGCGATTGAGATAAAATTTATTTGTTTCAACTTATAATTTAAAAAGTTTATTTGTGAAAATACAAAATTTTTGCTGGCCTTTCTCTCTATAGTTGTACAATATTAGACGTAGATTGACTGATTTTAGAAATATAATATTAAAACATGTATGCTGTCATTTCAAAAGTTGAGCACAAGTCAACGAAACTTAGAGCCTCATACAATCTTGCCTCTCTTGTATTTTTTTCCTCCAATTCCCACCGATTCTTGCCCATCCAACCGAACGGCCATCATGAATCTTTCTTCCTTCCTTTGATTATTCTTGGCCCTAATTCCCAAACATCACCCCGCTTCTTCTATTATTACTGACGGTGTCACTATTCATCTTTTTCTGCAATGTCATTTAGAAAAATTTTGTCGCTCAATCACCATTTCCACACAACAGCCCCGCTTCCCCCTCTTAACTCTTCTAATTTTGTTTCGGACCCGTCAAAATATGCATTTGGTGGAGGTGTTTTTGCTCTGGCAGTTTCGTTTGTTTCATATTCTGTTGGTCCAGATAAGAGTCAAGTGAAAGAAACGACGAAAATGGCTGCATGTGATATACAAGATGATGCTGGCAAAAGTTTTAACAGTCTTGAAGGGTTTCTTGATCATATTTCCAGAGAGAAGGACAAGGAGATGAAGCAATTGAAAGAAAATGAAACAACCAAAAAGGGCATAATTGAAGTACGCCCAGAAGAAGAAAGAGAAGGAGGTGGAGGGGTGTGGGGGGAAGCAACAAAAATCCTGGTTACCGATGTACATCTTCTTATTTTTTACCTCTTATCAAGTTTACATCTCTATTTATTATTTTCATAATTTCCTCCAAAACTTAAACTTTTTTTTATGTTTCAATTTCTAAATCCCAAAAAGTATGAATGAAAATTTGAACTCATAATGTCTAATTTCCATAGGCGTGGATTTTTTTTATAATTTTTGAATGTTGTGATATTTTTTGATTGGATTTAAAATTACTTTGTTGGTGGATACAATTGCGATTGAGATAAAATTTATTTGTTTCAACTTATAATTTAAAAAGTTTATTTGTGAAAATACAAAATTTTTGCTGGCCTTTCTCTCTATAGTTGTACAATATTAGACGTAGATTGACTGATTTTAGAAATATAATATTAAAACATGTATGCTGTCATTTCAAAAGTTGAGCACAAGTCAACGAAACTTAGAGCCTCATACAATCTTGCCTCTCTTGTATTTTTTTCCTCCAATTCCCACCGATTCTTGCCCATCCAACCGAACGGCCATCATGAATCTTTCTTCCTTCCTTTGATTATTCTTGGCCCTAATTCCCAAACATCACCCCGCTTCTTCTATTATTACTGACGGTGTTACTATTCATCTTTTTCTGCAATGTCATTTAGAAAAATTTTGTCGCTCAATCACCATTTCCACACAACAGCCCCGCTTCCCCCTCTTAACTCTTCTAATTTTGTTTCGGACCCGTCAAAATATGCATTTGGTGGAGGTGTTTTTGCTCTGGCAGTTTCGTTTGTTTCATATTCTGTTGGTCCAGATAAGAGTCAAGTGAAAGAAACGACGAAAATGGCTGCATGTGATATAGAAGATGATGCTGGCAAAAGTTTTAACAGTCTTGAAGGGTGTCTTGATCATATTTCCAGAGAGAAGGACAAGGAGATGAAGCAATTGAAAGGAAATGAAACAACCAAAAAGGGCATAACTGAAGTACGCCCTGAAGAAGAAAGAGAAGGAGGTGGAGGGGCGTGGGGGGAAGCAACAAAAATCCTGGTTACCGATGTACATCTTCTTATTTTTTACCTCTTATCAAGTTTACATCTCTATTTATTATTTTCATAATTTCCTCCAAATCTTAAACTTTTTTTTATGTTTCAATTTCTAAATCCCAAAAAGTATGAATGAAAATTTGAACTCATAATGTCTAATTTCCATAGGCGTGGATTTTTTTATAATTTTTGAATGTTGTGATATTTTTTGATTGGATTTAAAATTACTTTGTTGGTGGATACAATTGCGATTGAGATAAAATTTATTTGTTTCAACTTATAATTTAAAAAGTTTATTTGTGAAAATACAAAATTTTTGCTGGCCTTTCTCTCTATAGTTGTACAATATTAGACGTAGATTGACTGATTTTAGAAATATAATATTAAAACATGTATGCTGTCATTTCAAAAGTTGAGCACAAGTCAACGAAACTTAGAGCCTCATACAATCTTGCCTCTCTTGTATTTTTTTCCTCCAATTCCCACCGATTCTTGCCCATCCAACCGAACGGCCATCATGAATCTTTCTTCCTTCCTTTGATTATTCTTGGCCCTAATTCCCAAACATCACCCCGCTTCTTCTATTATTGCAGACGGTGTTACTATTCATCTTTTTCTGCAACGTCATTTAGAAAAATTTTGTCGCTCAATCACCATTTCCACACAACAGCCCCGCTTCCCCCTCTTAACTCTTCTAATTTTGTTTCGGACCCGTCAAAATATGCATTTGGTGGAGGTGTTTTTGCTCTGGCAGTTTCGTTTGTTTCATATTCTGTTGGTCCAGATAAGAGTCAAGTGAAAGAAACGACGAAAATGGCTGCATGTGATATAGAAGATGATGCTGGCAAAAGTTTTAACAGTCTTGAAGGGTGTCTTGATCATATTTCCAGAGAGAAGGACAAGGAGATGAAGCAATTGAAAGAAAATGAAACAACCAGAAAGGGCATAATTGAAGTACGCCCAGGAAGAAGAAGAGAAGGAGGTGCGAGGGAGTGTGGGTGCGGAAGCAACAAAAATCCTGTGTTACCGATGTACATCTTTCTTATTTTTTACCTCTTAATCAAGTTTACATTCTCTATTTATTTATTTTTCATAATTTCTCCAAAACTTAACTTTTTTTATGTTTTACAATTTTTCTAAATCCAAAAGTGGGGGGATGAATGAAAATTGAACTCATAATGTCGTAATTTCCATTAGGGTGGATTTTTTTTATAATTTTGTGTTTTGATATTTTTTGGCTGATTGGATTTAAAATTACTTGTTGGGGGATACATTTGCGATTGAGATTTTTAAAATTTATTTGTTTCAACTTATCATTTAAAAGTATTTGTGAAAATACAAATTTTGCTGGCTTTTCCTCTCTATAGTTGTACAATATTAGGCGTAGCGGATTGACTGTATTTTAGAAACTATATATATCTAAACATGTGATTGCTCGTCATTTCACAAGTGAGCACAAGTCACGGGAAACTTAAGTTAGCCTCATGCGCAATCTTGGCCTGTCTTGTATTTTTTTTAATTTCCACCGATTCTTTGCCCAATCCACCGAACGGCCATCATGAATCTTTCTTCCTTCCTTTGATTATTCTTGGCCCTACATTCCCAAACATCACCCACCCCCCCCCCCGCTTCTCTCTATTAATTACTGACGGAGTGTCACTATTTCATCTTTTTTGCAATGTCATTAGAAAAATTTTGTCGCCTCAATCACCATTTTTCCACACAACAGCCCGCTTCCCCTCTTAACTCTTTCTATTTTGTTTTCGGACCCGTCAAAATATTGATTTTTCGCTGGAGCTGTGTTTTTGCTTCTGACAGTTTCGTTTGTTTCATACTTTCTGTTTGCTCCAGCATAAGAGTCAAGTGCAAAGAAACGACGGAAATTGGCTGCCATGTGATATACAAGACTGATGCTGGCAAAAGTTTTAACAGTCTTGAAGGGTTTCTTGATCATATTTCCAGAGAGAAGGACAAGGAGATGAAGCAATTGAAAGAAAATGAAACAACCAAAAAGGGCATAATTGAAGTACGCCCAGAAGAAGAAAGAGAAGGAGGTGGAGGGGTGTGGGGGGAAGCAACAAAAATCCTGGTTACCGATGTACATCTTCTTATTTTTACCTCTTATCAAGTTTACATCTCTATTTATTATTTTCATAATTTCCTCCAAAACTTAAACTTTTTTTTATGTTTCAATTTCTAAATCCCAAAAAGTATGAATGAAAATTTGAACTCATAATGTCTAATTTCCATAGGCGTGGATTTTTTTTATAATTTTTGAATGTTGTGATATTTTTTGATTGGATTTAAAATTACTTTGTTGGTGGATACAATTGCGATTGAGATAAAATTTATTTGTTTCAACTTATAATTTAAAAAGTTTATTTGTGAAAATACAAAATTTTTGCTGGCCTTTCTCTCTATAGTTGTACAATATTAGACGTAGATTGACTGATTTTAGAAATATAATATTAAAACATGTATGCTGTCATTTCAAAAGTTGAGCACAAGTCAACGAAACTTAGAGCCTCATTCAATCTTGCCTCTCTTGTATTTTTTTCCTCCAATTCCCACCGATTCTTGCCCATCCAACCGAACGGCCATCATGAATCTTTCTTCCTTCCTTTGATTATTCTTGGCCCTAATTCCCAAACATCACCCTGCTTCTTCTATTATTACTGACGGTGTTACTATTCATATTTTTCTGCAATGTCATTTAGAAAAATTTTGTCGCTCAATCACCATTTCCAAACAACAGCCCCGCTTCCCCCTCTTAACTCTTCTAATTTTCTTTCGTACCCGTCAAAATTTGCATTTGGTGGAGGTGTTTTTGCTCTGGCAGTTTCGTTTGTTTCATATTCCGTTGGTCCAGACAAGAGTCAAGTGAAAGAAACGACGAAAATGGCTGCATGTGATATAGAAGATGATGCTGGCAAAAGTTTTAACAGTCTTGAAGGGTGTCTTGATCATATTTCCAGAGAGAAGGACAAGGAGATGAAGCAATTGAAAGGAAATGAAACAACCAAAAAGGGCATAACTGAAGTACGCCCTGAAGAAGAAAGAGAAGGAGGTGGAGGGGCGTGGGGGGAAGCAACAAAAATCCTGGTTACCGATGTACATCTTCTTATTTTTTACCTCTTATCAAGTTTACATCTCTATTTATTATTTTCAAAATTTCCTCCAAATCTTAAACTTTTTTTTATGTTTCAATTTCTAAATCCGAAAAAGTATGAATGAAAATTTGAACTCATAATGTCTAATTTCCATAGGCGTGGATTTTTTTATAATTTTTGAATGTTGTGAGATTTTTTGATTGGATTTAAAATTACTTTTTTGGTGGATATAATTGCGATTGAGATAAAATTTATTTGTTTCAACTTATAATTTAAAAAGTTTATTTGTGAAAATACAAAATTTTTGCTGGCCTTTCTCTCTTTAGTTGTACAATATTAGACGTAGATTGACTGATTTTAGAAATATAATATTAAAACATGTATGCTGTCATTTCAAAAGTTGAGCACAAGTCAACGAAACTTAGAGGCTCATACAATCTTGCCTCTCTTGTATTTTTTTCCTCCAATTCCCACCGATTCTTGCCCATCCAACCGAACGGCCATCATGAATCTTTCTTCCTTCCTTTGATTATTCTTGGCCCTAATTCCCAAACATCACCCCGCTTCTTCTATTATTACTGACGGTGTCACTATTCATCTTTTTCTGCAATGTCATTTAGAAAAATTTTGTCGCTCAATCACCATTTCCACACAACAGCCCCGCTTCCCCCTCTTAACTCCTCTAATTTTGTTTCGGACCCGTCAAAATATGCATTTGGTGGAGGTGTTTTTGCTCTGGCAGTTTCGTTTGTTTCATATTCTGTTGGTCCAGATAAGAGTCAAGTGAAAGAAACGACGAAAATGGCTGCATGTGATATACAAGATGATGCTGGCAAAAGTTTTAACAGTCTTGAAGGGTTTCTTGATCATATTTCCAGAGAGAAGGACAAGGAGATGAAGCAATTGAAAGAAAATGAAACAACCAAAAAGGGCATAATTGAAGTACGCCCAGAAGAAGAAAGAGAAGGAGGTGGAGGGGTGTGCGGGGAAGCAAACAAAAATCCTGGTTAACCGATGTACATCTTCTTAATTTTTTAGCTCACTATCAAATGTTACAGTCTCTAATTTATTATTTTCATAATTTACTCCAAAACTTAAACTTTTTTTTATGTTTCAATTTCTAAATCCCAAAAAGTATGAATGAAAATTTGAACTCATAATGTCTAATTTCCATAGGCGTGGATTTTTTTTATAATTTTTGAATGTTGTGATATTTTTTGATTGGATTTAAAATTACTTTGTTGGTGGATACAATTGCGATTGAGATAAAATTTATTTGTTTTAACTTATAATTTAAAAGCTTTATTTGTGAAATAGGCAGAAATTTTTCGCTGGTACCTTTTTCTCTCTATAAGTTGTTACAATATTAGACGTCGATTGACCTGATTTTGTAGAGGAAGATATAATATAAACATGTATGCTGTCATTGGTCAAGATGTTGAGCACACAAAAACAGTCAACGAAACTTAGAGGCCTCATAAATGTTGCCTGCTCTTTGTATTTTTTTCGCTTCTAAATTTAAAAAAATTCCCGTCCAGATTCTTGCCCATTCAAACCGGAACGCAATCATCGAAATCTTTCTTCCTCCCTTTGAATTATTGCTTGCCTAATTCCCAAACATCACCAGACCGCTTCTTCTAAATTATCTATTGACGGTGTCACTATTCATGCTTTTCTGCAATCGTCATTTAGAAAATTTTGTCGCTCAATGCACCATTTGCCACAGCAACGCCCCGTTCCCCCCCTTAACTCTTTCTAATTTTTTTCGGACCGAGTCAAAATATGCATTTGGTGGAGGTGTTTTTGCTCTGCAATTTCGTTTGTTTCATATTCCGTTGGTCCAGATAAGAGTCAAGTGAAAGAAACGACGAAAATGGCTGCATGTGATATAGAAGATGATGCTGGCAAAAGTTTTAACAGTCTTGAAGGGTGTCTTGATCATATTTCCAGAGAGAAGGACAAGGAGATGAAGCAATTGAAAGGAAATGAAACAACCAAAAAGGGCATAACTGAAGTACGCCCTGAAGAAGAAAGAGAAGGAGGTGGAGGGGCGTGGGGGGAAGCAACAAAAATCCTGGTTACCGATGTACATCTTCTTATTTTTTACCTCTTATCAAGTTTACATCTCTATTTATTATTTTCAAAATTTCCTCCAAATCTTAAACTTTTTTTTATGTTTCAATTTCTAAATCCGAAAAAGTATGAATGAAAATTTGAACTCATAATGTCTAATTTCCATAGGCGTGGATTTTTTTATAATTTTTCAATGTTGTGAGATTTTTTGATTGGATTTAAAATTACTTTTTTGGTGGATATAATTGCGATTGAGATAAAATTTATTTGTTTCAACTTATAATTTAAAAAGTTTATTTGTGAAAATACAAAATTTTTGCTGGCCTTTCTCTCTATAGTTGTACAATATTAGACGTAGATTGACTGATTTTAGAAATATAATATTAAAACATGTATGCTGTCATTTCAAAAGTTGAGCACAAGTCAACGAAACTTAGAGGCTCATACAATCTTGCCTCTCTTGTATTTTTTTCCTTCAATTCCCACCGATTCTTGCCCATCCAACCGAACGGCCATCATGAATCTTTCTTCCTTCCTTTGATTATTCTTGGCCCTAATTCCCAAACATCACCCCGCTTCTTCTATTATTACTGACGGTGTCACTATTCATCTTTTTCTGCAATGTCATTTAGAAAAATTTTGTCGCTCAATCACCATTTCCACACAACAGCCCCGCTTCCCCCTCTTAACTCTTCTAATTTTGTTTCGGACCCGTCAAAATATGCATTTGGTGGAGGTGTTTTTGCTCTGACAGTTTCGTTTGTTTCATATTCTGTTGGTCCAGATAAGAGTCAAGTGAAAGAAACGACGAAAATGGCTGCATGTGATATACAAGATGATGCTGGCAAAAGTTTTAACAGTCTTGAAGGGTTTCTTGATCATATTTCCAGAGAGAAGGACAAGGAGATGAAGCAATTGAAAGAAAATGAAACAACCAAAAAGGGCATAATTGAAGTACGCCCTGAAAAAGAAAGAGAAGGAGGTGGAGGGGTGTGGGGGGAAGCAACAAAAATCCTGGTTACCGATGTACATCTTCTTATTTTTTACCTCTTATCAAGTTTACATCTCTATTTATTATTTTCATAATTTCCTCCAAAACTTAAACTTTTTTTTATGTTTCAATTTCTAAATCCCAAAAAGTATGAATGAAAATTTGAACTCATAATGTCTAATTTCCATAGGCGTGGATTTTTTTTATAATTTTTGAATGTTGTGATATTTTTTGATTGGATTTAAAATTACTTTGTTGGTGGATACAATTGCGATTGAGATAAAATTTATTTGTTTCAACTTATAATTTAAAAAGTTTATTTGTGAAAATACAAAATTTTTGCTGGCCTTTCTCTCTATAGTTGTACAATATTAGACGTAGATTGACTGATTTTAGAAATATAATATTAAAACATGTATGCTGTCATTTCAAAAGTTGAGCACAAGTCAACGAAACTTAGAGTCTCATGCAATCTTGCCTCTCTTGTATTTTTTTCCTCCAATTCCCACCGATTCTTGCCCATCCAACCGAACGGCCATCATGAATCTTTCTTCCTTCCTTTGATTATTCTTGGCCCTAATTCCCAAACATCACCCCGCTTCTTCTATTATTACTGACGGTGTCACTATTCATCTTTTTCTGCAATGTCATTTAGAAAAATTTTGTCGCTCAATCACCATTTCCACACAACAGCCCCGCTTCCCCCTCTTAACTCTTCTAATTTTGTTTCGGACCCGTCAAAATATGCATTTGGTGGAGGTGTTTTTGCTCTGACAGTTTCGTTTGTTTCATATTCTGTTGGTCCAGATAAGAGTCAAGTGAAAGAAACGACGAAAATGGCTGCATGTGATATACAAGATGATGCTGGCAAAAGTTTTAACAGTCTTGAAGGGTTTCTTGATCATATTTCCAGAGAGAAGGACAAGGAGATGAAGCAATTGAAAGAAAATGAAACAACCAAAAAGGGCATAATTGAAGTACGCCCAGAAAAAGAAAGAGAAGGAGGTGGAGGGGTGTGGGGGGAAGCAACAAAAATCCTGGTTACCGATGTACATCTTCTTATTTTTTACCTCTTATCAAGTTTACATCTCTATTTATTATTTTCATAATTTTCTCCAAAACTTAACCTTTTTTTTATGTTTCAATTTCTAAATCCCAAAAAGTATGAATGAAAATTTGAACTCATAATGTCTAATTTCCATAGGCGTGGATTTCTTTATAATTTTTGAATTTTGTGATATTTATTGATTGGATTTAAAATTACTTTGTTGGTGGATACAATTGCGATTGAGATAAAATTTATTTGTTTCAACTTATAATTTAAAAAGTTTATTTGTGAAAATACAAAATTTTTGCTGGCCTTTCTCTCTATAGTTGTACAATATTAGACGTAGATTGACTGATTTTAGAAATATAATATTAAAACATGTATGCTGTCATTTCAAAAGTTTAGCACAAGTCAACGAAACTTAGAGCCTCATACAATCTTGCCTCTCTTGTATTTTTTTCCTCCAATTCCCACCGATTCTTGCCCATCCAACCGAACGGCCATCATGAATCTTTCTTCCTTCCTTTGATTATTCTTGGCCCTAATTCCCAAACATCACCCCGCTTCTTCTATTATTGCAGACGGTGTTACTATTCATCTTTTTCTGCAACGTCATTTAGAAAAATTTTGTCGCTCAATCACCATTTCCACACAACAGCCCCGCTTCCCCCTCTTAACTCTTCTAATTTTGTTTCGGACCCGTCAAAATATGCATTTGGTGGAGGTGTTTTTGCTCTGGCAGTTTCGTTTGTTTCATATTCTGTTGGTCCAGATAAGAGTCAAGTGAAAGAAACGACGAAAATGGCTGCATGTGATATAGAAGATGATGCTGGCAAAAGTTTTAACAGTCTTGAAGGGTGTCTTGATCATATTTCCAGAGAGAAGGACAAGGAGATGAAGCAATTGAAAGAAAATGAAACAACCAGAAAGGGCATAATTGAAGTACGCCCTGAAGAAGAAAGAGAAGGAGGTGGAGGGGTGTGGGGGGAAGCAACAAAAATCCTGGTTACCGATGTACATCTTCTTATTTTTTACCTCTTATCAAGTTTACATCTCTATTTATTATTTTCATAATTTCCTCTAAATCTTAACCTTTTTTTTATGTTTCAATTTCTAAATCCCAAAAAGTATGAATGAAAATTTGAACTCATAATGTCTAATTTCCATAGGCGTGGATTTCTTTATAATTTTTGAATGTTGTGATATTTTTTGATTGGATTTAAAATTACTTTGTTGGTGGATACAATTGCGATTGAGATAAAATTTATTTGTTTCAACTTATAATTTAAAAAGTTTATTTGTGAAAATACAAAATTTTTGCTGGCCTTTCTCTCTATAGTTGTACAATATTAGACGTAGATTGACTGATTTTAGAAATATAATATTAAAACATGTATGCTGTCATTTCAAAAGTTGAGCACAAGTCAACGAAACTTAGAGCCTCATACAATCTTGCCTCTCTTGTATTTTTTTCCTCCAATTCCCACCGATTCTTGCCCATCCAACCGAACGGCCATCATGAATCTTTCTTCCTTCCTTTGATTATTCTTGGCCCTAATTCCCAAACATCACC